TTAATCTTGACAGAATTTATTAACACTTGAAGCTCTGAGACTCTTACTCTGTACTGCTTAAGTATCTGAGCTTCTTATCAGAGCTGATATGACATCTTCTTGTAGAGTAGATAATACTTACAGAAAGACAGAAGTTATTATTACAGATATAACAGAAACAATGAGAGTGAAAGAAGAGATAGATATATAAAATTCCTCTCTTCTTCAGCTGCTTAATGCAGTGCAGATAAGTAGTAATACTGATCAGAGACTGCACTGAAGCCTTCTCACAGAGAGAAGACAAAGAAACTGCAGAATTCTGCAGACTCAACTCAGTAGCAGTCTGAGCAGAGCTCAGACATGCTGTAGAAGAGAAACTACAGATTAAGCTTCTCAGAGTCACTGTCTCTGAAACTAAGCTCTCTCTGAAGTCCTCTCTGAATGATCACATGAGATTATACATCACTGTATTAACTGAGAAAGGGGGTGGTGTTGCAACAGCAGTGAGAGAGGCAGAGAAAGAACTGAACACAGATGAACTAACTGACAGAAGAAATGATATCTCTCTGCAAGGCACAGTAACTATCACTGCAGCTGCAAGAGAAGCAGAAGAAGAAGAAGAAGATGTGGAAATAAGAGCAGTGCTTCTGCAGCTCAGTGACACTGCTGTCTTCATCTTCAATCAAGCTTTCTTAACAGTTACAGAGACTACTGCTGCATCATGAAGACATTTACTCACTAGAAAACATCAGAATAAGTTCTTTATTATTCTTCAAGAATGATACTCTCATGCACTCACTGTTACAATTGAGAGAGAGAGAAAGAAAAATATTTCATAGAGAAGAAAATCTTTTCAAAAAATTCTATCACTACTGTTAACTTTGTCTCTAAAACACATCACTTTTGCAGAGAATTTTATACATAGAACAGAATATGATGAGAGATCTATAAGTCACTTATTAACTACATTTTTCACATTTCAAATTGATATATAAGAAACTCACTTATTATATGTTTGATTTGAATAAAGATAAGCAAAGAAAGATCTACACAGTCAGCAGAAAAACTCATCTATTTCTTTGTATCACATGCAGTATATACACTGTCAATCAGTTAGTAACTGTTACTATACAACAAAGATAATTTCTAATTCAGTAATCTTAAGAGTATAGAGACTATACTCTTAAAGAGAAGAATATTATCACACTCTCAGCTATGTTAAGACTCTGTTATAATTTCATATAGCTTATTACTTTTATACAGATGATTTCATTCTGTCTGAATCAGTTTTCAATCACTCTATAATATTATTCAGATATATTATAGAAAGATCTGATTAATAAATATAAGAATCTCACTTCTATATAAGATCAGCAGATTACTTTTCCTTGATAGTAAGATGCTGCTGAGGTATTACTTCAGCTATTCTTACTTATGAAATGAGAGAAGGTATCTACTCATTATTTATATAGAATAGCTAGATACTGACTCTTTATAAAAGAAGTCAGCAATTCATTTTTCTTCTACTGAAATATATATAAGAGTTACTGTGTGTCTTATATAATCTTCTTAGTATACTAAGTATCATATCTGTGATATTCTTGCAATAACTCTGTAGTCTATAAGCTTGCTATTCAAGCAAGATAGTCAAGCTCACTTATATGACTTCTTAAACAACTACTTCTACATGATGCTACTGACTAGCCACTGCTTCAGTTCCGCCACATTACAATATTATACATATTATTAACTATAGTAGATACAAGAATTGCATTCATTGTCATTTTCTCTTCAAATTATTGTTATTCAACCTCTTCAAGCTTCTGTTTATAAATTTGAATAGAAGCTAATCTTTTCTCTATTTCACTGAGATATTCTTATAGTTATTATCTAAATCTTTCTCTAACATAATATAATTGATGTGAACAGACACTGATCTTTCTCTTGAGTATAAAGATATATAGATTAATTAATAGTTAAAAGCAATGTGTTCTGATTAGTTACAGTTAATGCATACTTCACATTGATATTAATTGATAACTTCTTCAGAAGTGATCTCAGGAACTCAGAAGCCTGTTCAAGCAGTAGAAACTCTTACTTATGTATAGACATTTGAGTCTATTCAATTCATGACATCTGCATCATTGTTATTCTTCAGCACAGATGTGTAAGTGACTGAGTTATTTCTCAGCACAGATGTGTAAGTGTAATATCTTCTATCACTGTTCTGTATACTCTTAAGCTTAATAAGATGATCATTCAATGTTCAGAGCTGTGTGTAGAAACCTTTATAAGTCTGATCTTTATCTACACTTATAAGAGTCTGTAAGAGTTTGAAAGTCAATATCTTCTTAAGTATACTAATCTTTATTCAATTCTCTCAAGATTGATTATCTGCTTCTAGAATCTTGATATTGAAGTCAGAGATGAATATTATAAGAGAAGTATTTCTCTGTCAGATACTCTGTAATCAATCTAATACTTTCTATTACATAACAGTGTCTCAGAACAGAATATTAAAATATTTGATAATATTATTAAGTATTTATAATGCTGATTCATATACTTCTATTCATGAATGAAACTTCTGTTTTATATGATTTTTCAATCATTCATTGATATATTAATCTTGATTAATTAATGAACTGATGAAATCTTCATCTACACTCAGTTTTACAAGCATTTTCATTCTTCATAATGAGTAGAGAGTGAGATTGAAAGTATTAACATATATAGAAGTATCTAAGCATTTCTTCAGCACTTTTATATTCAATTCTGTAAATATTGAAATTGTATAAGTTAATTATTAAATCTCTTTGTATTGAAGTTGTTGAGTTACATACATATCAGCTATTTATTATTATTATAATTTCAACATTGCTCAGAGTCACTGTGATATTATCTCTATACTTATACTCAAGAGTTTTATATTATTATTAGACATGATTATATCAATTATCAGATATGTAATATTTATAAAATCTGAAGAAGTGTAATTATATTCTCATATATCTGAGTGTCAGAACTCTTAGATCTTTCACTGATATTCTCTTATAAGATTTTATTCTCTTTATAAGATCTTATTACAGAGTCAGAGTAACTGATGAGTAAGCTTTTATCTGAGAACTCAGTGTCTGTTTAACTGTTTGACTGTTTCTCTATTTCTTATATATTATTATATGTTCAGATATCTCTTGATAAATAATCATTTCTAATGAGAAGATAATGTGTGAATAATTATTTTCTAATAAGAAGACAATAAACATTTTTATAGTATAAGAGACCTATACTGAATAGATCAGTATGATATTGATAGATCTTATATAATAAAGATAAAAATGTTAGAGAAGAAAAGAAAGAGAAAGTATGAGAATTAATAATTAAGATAAATATTTATACATGTATGTGATGATGTACGCGGTGAAGCTTCAGAACAGAAGAATATACACATATTTATAGCAGCTGAGAATCAGCAATTAAAAATGACTGAGAATCAGAGTGTATACATTTGAGAATGAAGTGATTGAAATCTGTGAAGTGTAATGAAATAGTCTATATAATTAATCAGACGCAGCTCATCACAGCTATAACTCTTAGTTATATATATAGAGAATGAATTACTGCAGTAAGTATATATATATTATATAAAAGTAATACTTTTTAATAATATTCAGTCTCTAATATTATAAAAATAGAGTCTTTCTATGAGATCTGTTTTTATCAGAAGTTAGAAAATCTTATATTTTTTAAGATTATCTTTACATATCTTATTTATGAAATTAATAAGAGAAATTATTAATTTCAGTATTCTATTCTTGATATTATTTAAGTAATAGTAGAGTTCACTCTAATTACACTTTTTAAGTATATATTTTCTAATTATTCACATTTATACAGATATATACTGATTATTTATTAGATAATATTAAGATTATAACTTATTATAACTGTATTACTCTTACTATAAAAGATATATAATTAATAATAAATATTATAAAGACTCTGAGAAATAAGTATTTTAAAAATACTACAGCTCTGCAATCTTGATTTTTTTTATTTTTATTTTTTATTTTTTTATTTTTCTTTTATTTTTTTTTCTTTCTCTTTTTTTTTCATTGTGATTTTTTCTTGTTTTTATTTTATTTTTTATTTTTTATTTTTTTTATATTTTTTATTTTTTTCATAATTAAAATTATATAAATTATAATTTATATTTAGAAAAGTAATAATATTTAATAATACTCTCTATTGAATTTTCAATAAATGAGTATTATATTATAATATTATATAAGTAAGAAATAATTTCATAGTCTTATTTAATATCATTCTTAATAATAAGATCAGAATGAAAATATGACTAAGAATTTAAATATATTCTTTATTTAAGACTAGATTTTTATTTGAAAAGTGAATCTGAGATCTTTAATATTTAAAATAATATAATTTGAAATTAATATAATAAATATAAATTATAATCAGAAGTAATACTTTTAAATAATATAATAACTATAAAGTTTAATTCTAATTTTAGATATAATTATATAATTAGTTTAATCTCAGTAATATCTTACTACTATAAAAGAGTAATCTGTTAATCTTGTATAAAAGTAGAGTTTTTATATTTATTAATTAAATCTTTCTATATTATATCTGAATAATATTATAAAGTCATTGAAAACCAGTTTAAACAGTCTATAAAATAAATGAAATTATTCACAGAAAAGTAATAAAGTGTATGAAACTATAACAGAGTCTTGACACAGTTGAGAGTATAATATAAGTACTATTTTACACTGTTACACATTATTAAAATTAAATACTATTTATTTATAAAAATTTTATAAAAGATGTAAGTACTCTGTACAGTTACTTAATTTATTAAATATTTAATCTTTTTCATCTGTACTTTGTAAAAAGCAGCTGTAATATTAGTACAGACACTCCGCTCACTGAACAAGTTGTAATATTGAGACTGTACTGTACTTTTTAAAAAAAGTGAAGGGAGAGAACAGGCCCTGAATATGATTGGTGCGTGTATATGGTAACACTAGTATAAAATACTCAAAAATATCCATTTGACCCAAATGTCACTATAGGCTGCCGTACTCCGCCACCGCAACACGCTCCAACGCGACTCTTGGTAACATACCGTATTGTCACGGCGCCCCGAAGTCCTTCCAAACCCTCCTCCACAACCCTCCACAATCCTCACATTCCTCCACATTCCACCGACCAATTCGCAAGCCGGGATCTTGCATCTTCGTATCTCGAGTCCCTGAAACCCGCAGACAGCTCACTCGCCAATGCTATCCTCTCCCCCTTTACGCGCATCAAGCTCCTGAGGCATTTCACCCCGGACCACGCCAGCCAATCCGACCGGCTACCTACACAGTAAAGTTCCTCCTCCCTCCCTCCAGCTTCCAGCCAAAACCTCCCTCCCGTTAGTTACACACGCCGAATCAGAACAGTCCGCTGTTGAGCAGATCAGTTTCGCGCCTTAGCTCAGTTCACTAGCAAGGCTAAATAAATCGGCGCAAGGGAGGGCTGCACGGAGCCAATAATAATACACAGTTCTGCTGCATCGACCCTCGCTGTGCTACGCGCTCCATCCAGCCTTGGCCAAAACAAACTCCTCATAACTCTCCAACTTCCCCTCTTTCTGTTCGCAAAACAAGAGCAACACACATCCCGTTTTTTCTTCCCTTCCCTTCTCTTCTCCTGTATCTCGGACCTTGCCTGCTTTCCTCTCTTCTCAACCATACTTGTATATCTCCTCTCAGTTGCGTCCGTGTGCATTTAGCATTCTGCCTGTTCGTATGCTGAATACCGCCATTGTTTACATCTAGCGAGGAACCCATATTGACCCCAACCAACCCCTGGATTTTGATCTGCCTTTTATTTTCCAACTCTGGATTCATCAAAAGGACCTATCCAGTCGTCAAACAGGCCATTGCTGTGATTCACAGCGTCATACCAGCTGGAGATCCTTGGTAGCATCCCACATAGATCCCCTTCATGCCCGCGCCCTCAGGAGCGTAGATATAGAAAAGAACCTTGCCGCAACAATACATAGCACATACGCGATTTCACTCTAAACATGGCCCTTACCCAGTCCATGCCTTCGCCTGTGAGGCAGCCATTCGGAGTGATTGATCCCTCACGCTTGCGTTTTCTGCAGAGCGCGAAAAACCAACAGAATGGTCAGTTACAATTCCACGTTGTGGTTGTATATTTAACCAGCTAACAATTCCCACTTGATAGGAATAACATCGCCTTCTCTCAAACGCCGCCTAGAAACGACAGACCTATCCGACACGGAAAACCTAGACCCCTCCTCCTTCGGCACCCCAAGCACCAAAAGGACCAGAAACGCACTGGATGAGGACGTGTCCAAAACAGCGCCAGCTACCACATTAACAACAAACAAATTCTCCTTCGTCGCACCCGCCAAACCCATCACCACAAACCCCAGACGCCTCCAAACACCTGTCTCACAAATCAAGCGGGCAGCTGCCCTTCCCAACTCGGCCCCGCTCCGTGCTCCAGCAGGGCGCTCACCGAAATCAAAACCCGCAAGTGCCTTCTCCCGCCGCAGCACTGGCTCATACACACGCATTGACCCGCCTTCATTTACAAAAGCCCATGCCGCGCCTCGCGCGCCGTTTTCCATCGCCGATGCCCTTCATGGAACTCTCGGTATGCTCAATACCAGTGTTGCCCCCAACGCGCGCAATGCTACTTCGCAGACGCAGAGGCTGCAGAGTACAAAACTAATCGCGCCGGACGATATTCATCTCAATGTCAATATCAGCAGCAGCACCAGGAGTAATAATAATAATATCAAACACCACCCCAAAGCCTGGGACTTCGAGATCTACACTGATACCGAGCAGGACGAGATGGCGAACCTGATGGAGCACTCAACGTGCGTGCTGGATATTAGTGACGATGAGGAGAAGCCGCGATATAAAGATGATCGCGGGAAGGAGAATATTCCTCCCCCCGTGGAATTTGTGGGACAGCGGGGGTTGATGGGCGGAGAAGATGAAGCGGCTGTCGCGGGGGAGATGGAAGGGGAGGATCGTACTCGTAATGTGGAAATGACAGATGAGCCGCGCTCGGCGCTTGGGGAGTTGGATGTTACGCGGTTCGTGACCGTGGTTGAGTCTGAGTCCAGACCTGAGGGTGGGTGGCATGACTGTGAGAATTCAAATGACCATGCACATGTACTAAACACCATCGACCCAACGGCTATACCACTACCACCCCCAACTGCGGGGGAAGAACATTCCCAATCGCAAGATGAGAAACCATCAGGAGAAGAAGCAGAAACGGCGGTCAGCACATCATCATCATCATCACCACCACCACCACCCTCTCGATCTCCGCCTGAATCTCAACCACCTCCCCCCTCAATACATCCCTCCCACTGCCACCCATCCTACCCTCATCACAACCACCACGACGAACAGCAAAGCCAACCCAAACCAAGCCATCCCACCCTCGCCAGCCACGCAGCCATCTCTGCACTGATATCTAACTCTGCACCACCCCTTGCCAACAGCACTTGTACCACCAACACCTCTACCACCTCTTGTTCTTCGTTCGCAGCAAGCAACGAGATAGAGATTTGGGAAAGTGAGAGTGCGGCGGACGAAGCTGAGGCTGACGCCCTGATGTAACGAGGTTTTATTTAATATCTTTTGTTTTGGAAAATGTAGGTATAGTATTAGTGTGGAGTATGAATAATGGGGTGAAGTAAAGCATATAGAACCTTATATACTAGCCGGCCCTTTCTTTTTTTTTGCTTTTCTTTTTTTTTTTTTTTTTTTTTCTCTTTCGCCTGTGGATGTAGCGCTCGGATCGGGAGTTGTTGGGATAACTAAATCCTTGGGAGTTTGGTTCATCCCTGTTTGTTTCTGTTTCTGTTTCGACGCTATTTTCTGGTCTTTTTCATTGTCTTCAATTACTTGTTTTCTTGTTTTCCATGAATCTGTCGCTGTTATGGTGTGAGTTGCTAATCTGCGGTATATATATATATATTTTTTTTCTGTTGGCCATGATAGTTGTTATTAATACAGTTAAATAGTTCATTGTTGTTTTTTTAGCTTTCAATGTCAATTTTCATTATATGTTTTATGTATTAGGAATATTTTTTTGTTGTCCATCTAAGTATTTTTATGGGATTGTAGCTATTTCTTTCTTTTGACCAACTTCTTACATGAACGCTACGTATAATCAATTTATATCTATTGTTTATTTTGGCTGCTTGACTGACTACTGAAGGAATGTATGATTGGTAACTATTGGAATTGCTACTACATGTACATGTCCGGTGTGTTATCTGCCTGTCCTGTGGCCCTGCTTCCCATAGTAGATTGAGATCACTATTTTACCGAACTAAGTAAACTAACTTGGCCGGGTTGGTGTGGTTTGCGTTGCATGGATGTGCTTGCCCGCCTGGTATATATATGTCTGAGGATAGCCCCTGAGATCTCCTGGTAAAGATGCTTCATTCATATAGTACATAAGTCAAGTGGAAGGAACACCCTGGACCAAATTTTCAATCTGGTGGCTATAGACCTGACATTTCTACATCATCGCCTTCTCCCTGTCCCTCCTCTTCCTCTTCCTCCCCCTCCTCCTCTCCAGACTCGCCCATCTCCTCCTCCCCTTCACCTTCATCCTCGTTCTCCCTTCCCACCCCTCCAACCTCATCCTCCCACTTAACCCTCTTCCCTCGACCCCCATCCTCCCCACCCCTTCCATCATCACCATCACCACCATCACCACCCCCCCTCCCCCTCTCCAAAAACACCTTCCGCCCCGGCGCCCCTCGAACCATCGCCCTCACCTCCGCCGCCAATGCCATACATCTCGAACTAACCCTGCGCTCCCCACCACCAGCAGCACCAGGACCAATAGCACATTTCCTCCCCACCTCCTCGTCCCCGCCCACCCGCGCCGGAAACTCCAGCAGGGGCAGAAAATCCTCCTCCATCGCCGCCGCCGGCGTCGTGCCGTGCTCGAGCATGTGCTGGATCTTCGCGCGCATGATCGTCTTGGCGACGGCGAGGGTGACGTTGCCGTACCAGCCGGAGGAGAGGATGTCGCATGCAGCGAGGATGGGGGATGGGGATGGGGATGGGGCTTCTGATGATGGTGATGGTGATGGCGGGGGTGCCGGTGGTTTGAGAAGGCGGGCGAGGATGGGATCGGTGATATCGCATATCATCCACATCTTGCCGTCGCGGGGGAGCGGGGCTTGGCCGGTGAAGATATGGGAGGGGCGGGTCGCCGCGCTCTGGTCGCCGCCGGTGCTAGTGGCGGAGGCGCGCGGGAGGGTCTTGCGCCTAGTTGACACCGATGTTGTCGTCGATGTGTTCCTCGGCGCCGGGGTGCCGGCATGGTCATTCTCGAGCTGTTCGGTGATACTGGACGGCAGCGTGCGGAACATAAATGTCTGGTAGACGCAGGAGGATGGGTGGAGGCGCGGGTCATGGCCGAATTTCACAATGGCGTCGCGCCAGGGGCCCGAACGGAAGATGTAGCCGACATACGGCACGGCGAGGCGGAGGGCGTATTTCTGCTCATTGGTCGTGAGGTGGTTGCGTAGGCCGCGCCGGGTCCAGGCCGGGCGGGTTTCGAAGAGGGATTGGAGGATTGCGATGGTTTCCTGTAGGGGTTTGTCGAGGGTGTGGATTGGGGGGCAATTTTCGCGAGGGGCGGTTGGGACGGAGGGGACGTCGCATGCTACGAGGTGGGTGAGGACTTTGACGATTTGTTGGGTGTTTGTGGTTGTTATTTCGCCGGATGGGCCGATGGATTGTTTGACCGTGGGGTTTTGGCGATAGCTGTGTTGGGGTATGTGTTAGGTATAGTGTAATTTGGGAGAAATGAGTGTGAACATACAGGTAGTTGAAGGGGGCGTCTCCACGGCTTAAGGCTGGCGGTGGTATGATGTCGACGTTCGATGTAGACCCTTTGGTCATATCGAATTGGAACTCTTTGAGCTTGTCGTCTATATAGGGAAGATTAGCATTTATCGGAAGAAACATGGTGTAAAATGACTGGGGTTCAAGGGGATATAAAAGCACCACATACATCGGAAGGGTAAGACATTCTCTCTGAATTTCGTCATAAAGGGGCTAGAGATTGTCGAGTAGACGAAATCCGGCATTCCTATGACTTCATCAGCACTAAAGCATTGAACTTTGAAGTCTTGATGGATATATTATATCCATTGGGCCTACACGACATACCACGGAAGTTGTGCATTCGCTCGACGCAGCCAATCGCTTCGACCTCGTATTTGCCCACGTTATCCTGGAGTCGTCGCAGCAAGGCCCGCGCGTTTAGAGCACGGGACGGCACTGTAGCACTGCTTCTACTAGTGGTAGGGCTGGCAGGTTCACTGGCTTCTTCAACATCATTGAGGACGTTGGTGAAGGGCTCATCAGAACCACGTTTGCGCTTGCGCCCAGTCCTCTTGGGGACGGTAATCTTCAGCAAGATGTTATTTGCAGGGTTACAGATTGAAGACAAAGGTCTGCTCATGCCGTCCTCGGGAGATAAGAATAAGTTGATCGAGGAATCCTGACGTGGCGGATTTAGAAGCTACAAACGGCATGTTAGTTGCAGGCTTTGTTTATATAGGTTGAAAGAGGGGGGGGAACTTGGTCTGCTTGCCCTTGGAATGCCGCCGTTTCCGCTAAGGGTTTCGATCCCTTTGTCTATGTTCTTCACCACGCATGGATGTTCCACAGTAACGATCTCACGCGCTGGAATCGAGTACCAAGGGGCAGTGCGATCGCGGGCATGAGGCGTTTGCGACATATTGAAGGGGGTTTACCAGGGTGGCTAAAACAGTCATACGGCAAGTGGGTAATTGAAGGATGTGTAATTCTGGTACGGAGTATATAGATTTAAACGGATACACAGATAGATATGCTCATTTCCATTCTTGCCTGTTTGTAGCCCAGCACGCACGGTGGATAGAGCATATATTGACATACATGTATTTATACGGGCGGATGCAGGTGCTGGGTTCCTAATGTTGACTTAGGGTTTGCCTTTTCCCTGGACCAGCGCGCTAACTACTGACGGCAGAGTAGAAAGATAGAATCACAATGAGAGAGTACTCTGTATAATCCACATGTTCGTATGAGTATATTTATACATACTGTAGATACAATTTATATCTAACTCATCCCCCACGCTGTTTCTATCAAGTGGATTCGCCACGTGACCCGCCCCCGCTAGCCGCATCAGGCAGCCTGCGCCAAGCCAAACCACAGCTACAACCCGCAGAAGAGTGGCGCCAAGACATGCCTGCTCCTGCCACTCTGGGGAGTCTGTCTACTCGAACTCTCCCGCCCCGACGACGACAACATCCACCTCCAACGGCGACGACATCTACAACTCCCACCACACCTCTATCCAGCTCCTGTCTGCGCTGCACCCGCTGTCATTTATCTTGTCTTGCCTTATTTCTACCTCTGCTCAGCGCTCGTCTCTCCCTTGACTGATCCTACTTCATCCTCTCCTTCCCACCCCATGCCTCTTCGCGCTTGATCCCTCCTTGTTTCCCTCCCTTCCGAACCATACGGCCCGCTGGGATTGACTCCCCGCCCTGCCACCACCGCCCCTGAAGTCGCTCACATCCCCTTCCGCTACTGCCCACCCCGGTCGATTTTCCCTCAAGCCACAATATCAAACCAGCTGCCTCCTCCTTTTATTCAGAACTTTGGGATTTCCAATTGTCTTTGCTTGTTTGTTAAGGTACGTTACGTGACCCTACTCGGTAGGTCCTGAGGCTTGGCTTGATATGTCTCCACTCCTCTCCCTCCTCCCCCCCTCCACTTCCTCCCCTCCCTCCCCTAAACGTTCAGCTTCTGTATGTCTTTCGTTCGGGAGAGTGCAAACGTGCAACCCCGTCACTGCGCTACCCACTGTCGAGCCGCAGCATCCCTTCCTCTTCCACTCCCCTTTGCTCCTGTGCAAGAAAACACCAACCTGCACAGCCTAATCCCTTTCTTCCCGTTTGTTTTCTATTCGAAGATGGCACTTTCTTCACCTTGATTTCATGGCGATTGTTCGCCCTGGGGTCAACTTAACCCTGCCACCTATAAGCTAGAGCGCTTTCTTCGTCTCTGGCACCCCTTAAACCCGCGCTAGGGAATGTGTGCTCACTCATGTGCCATTCTAGAATAAATATACCGCCCGGGTCGCCTTTTCCGTTCCCCCTCGAAATTCACACAGCTGCTGGTCACGACTATTCCGCTGACTGTCGGATAATCGTGGTCGACTGGCTGAACACTGGCGGATCTTGTACATGTGGCCGCCACACCGATATAAGCTACCATGAAGGGTTTCAGGCAGAGAGTGGTAAGAGCTCCCACACATAACCAGCCCCGCGTGGGTGTTTGTGTTATGTGTCTTGGAGCTATGGACACATTTTGTTTCGTTGTAGGAAGAACCCGGCATTGACTGACGGCTTTAGCATGAACAGCTGTCCCGTGCGAAAGATTCAAACAAGTCTTCTAAGAAGAAAGATTCTTCCGGGACATCCTCCCCAAGTCAAAACACAACCTCCAGTTCGACAGGCCCTAGCCCTTCCCCGGCCAACTCCAATCATGGCACCCCTACCACCTCGACCACCTCATTGAACGATATGAAAGGGAAGGCTGGACTACAAGGCGGCAACGGTGGTGGACCGCCAGCTGGCGCTATCCATAACAATGCTCAGTCACAGCTAAGCGCCCCTCAAAGCGCCCAACTTTTTATGCCTCCAGGACAAAACATGGGAGGTCATTCGGGTCAAATGCCCGGAAATGGGCCCGGAACACCGATTCGACAACCACAGCCGCTTGCTCCAAGTGTAATCATTAGCCCTAGCGCACCGGTATGTTATTCCATTTTTCCCTCTCCCACACTGCTCATCCTTTCGGAGCGATTGGGTTCACTTCATATAGCATTGGATATTATGTGCTGTGGATAACTAGCTGCTGACGAACGAGAAACAAATTTAGCACATTCCTCCGCCGGGGGCTGCAGAGACCATGCCTGGAGATCTCCAGCCACCAAAGGCTGGCCAAAAATCAAACCTTTTCGATCGGTTACAAACAACTCCCAAGGATGTTCCAGAAGGTATCAGAACACCCAAACGACAACACTCCTCGAGGTTCGACATATCTGATCAGCGCCAAAGAGAACTGGAGAAGCTCCCGGGCTTCCACGAAGTCCCTCCGAACCGGCGCCAGGATTTGTTCATGCAAAAAATTGACCAGTGCAATATCATTTTCGATTTTAATGATCCGACTGGCGATATGAAATCCAAGGAGATCAAGCGACTGGCCCTGCATGAATTATTAGACTACGTGGCGAACAACAGATCTGTTATCACCGACCCCATGTATCCCCGCGTGGTGGATATGTTTGCCAAAAACCTTTTTCGCCCTATTCCTCCCCCAGTAAACCCTCAAGGGGACGCTTTCGACCCGGAAGAGGATGAGCCTGTTCTTGAAGTTGCATGGCCGCATATTCAGGTGGTTTATGAATTTTTCCTCCGTTTCATCGAGAGTCAAGATTTCAATACCAATATAGCAAAAGCATATATCGACCATCAGTTTGTTTTACAAGTATGTTGACTTGTGCTTTTATTCCCACAGCTTTTTCTGGAATTATAAAAAAAATACTGACCTATGGGAAAGTTACTGGAACTCTTTGATTCTGAAGACCCCCGCGAACGAGACTTTCTCAAAACAACCCTCCACCGCATCTACGGCAAATTCCTTAACCTACGTTCTTACATTCGACGGTCGATCAACAATGTTTTCTTCCAGTTCATGTACGAAACGGAACGCTTTAATGGAGTAGCAGAGCTGCTCGAGATTCTTGGTTCTATTATTAATGGCTTCGCGCTCCCACTAAAGGAGGAGCACAAACTCTTCTTAACGCGCGTCTTGATTCCCCTACATAAAGTGAAGAGCCTGAGCATGTATCACCCCCAGCTGGCATATTGCATCGTTCAGTTCCTCGAAAAGGACTCTGCACTCACTGAAGAAGTAATTCTAACCCTTTCATTCGCCCCTTACATCCGGTTTCCTTCTCTCGCTGAAATTGACTCGTTTATTTCCTAGGTCGTTCTTGGGTTGCTCCGATACTGGCCGAAGGTAAACAGCACGAAGGAAGTTATGTTTTTGAATGAAGTCGAGGATATCTTTGAAGTTATGGACCCCACGGAATTCGCCAAAGTCCAGGAGCCGCTTTTCAACCAATTGGCAAAATCGGTGGCCAGCCCCCATTTTCAGGTATGTTCCGCTTCACCACCGAAAATAAATTTGTCTGTGGGTCGTTTTTGTTAATAATATCTCTATCCAGGTGGCTGAACGGGCATTATACTTTTGGAACAATGAATACTTCTGTAATCTTGTCACCGATAACGTAGAAACTATCCTGCCTATCATGTTTGCTCCGCTATACGAAAATTCAAAAGGGCATTGGAACAGGTAAGATCTATGTTCCTGAACTTGCAAAATTGATGACGCACACTTTACTTATCTCCACCCGTCCCCACAGGACCATCCATAGCATGGTATACAACGCGATGAAACTTTTCATGGAAATCAACCCACAATTATTCGACGATTGCTCCCACGACTACACAGAACTGCAATCGACTGCAGAAGCCCGCGAGAAAAATAGACAGGGCAAATGGGACAGGCTGCAGCTGCTAGCTCAATCTCGAAAGAGCATAACAGGAACAGGAACGGGCCCATCTCCACTATTGGCCAACACTACTACTAATGCTGGTGCGACTACATCATCTTCCACACCATCATCTGATGGACCACAAATATCATCTCGCCATACGGACGATATGGACACGGTTACCCACGACAGCCAACAGCGACTTAATGCACTGAAACTACAAGATGAGTCGAGTAAGGAGCGGCGGTTACGGGAGCGGGATGGGCAAGACCTGAATTCGGTTAGTGCTTCATAAGATTTACAGGGGACTTGAGTGAGTTAGAGGGGCGAAGAGAAGAACAAGAGAGATAGAAAGAGAGATAAAGCGAGATCCCTTGTATCTGCAGCCAGCCATTTCATGCATTTCATGCACCTTTTTCACAATGTCACGACTCATTTTTTCATTCACCATTTTCCATTTTGTCAATTTCTGCAATTTTGTTTGTTTCTTCTCATGGCGAATGACTTATTTCAAAAACGAAAAATAACCACATATACATTTTCATTTTCTTCTTTCTATCCATCTCTGTCTCTGTATTTGCTTGCTTTTCTTGCATAGCCAGAGCGAGAATTCCTCCTCCTTATTTTTTTTTCCTTTTCCTTTTTTTTCCTTTTCCTTTTTTTTTTTTTTTTTTTTTTTTCTTCTTTTCTTCTTTTTTCTTTTTCTTTTTCTTTTTCTTTTTTCAACGTGCGTGGGCTGTTAAATGTATGTGACAAATAATTTCTAACATTTACGCCGTGGTTTATTACCCCCGTTTTTTGATTCCAGCAGAGGCGCCGTCACGGATCGTACGATGACACTCGCTCGCGCAGGACAGGATCAGGATCGGGATCGGGGTATGGGAGTGGTGGTGAGAATCCTGGCACTGCAGCCGCTGCAACTCGTGGTAGTGGCAGCAGTAGGAAACGGGGGGAGCGGAAGGGTTCTTCTGGAAGCCAAAGCGTTAATACTGATAATCATAATGGTGGGGGAGGGTTCCCATCTTCAACACAGATGCCCACTGTGGCACAGAGCAATTCGATGAGGTAGAGTGGAGTGGAGTGGTTAGATGGATTGATTGAATATTGATGGGTTGTTGTTTGGTTTCCTGGAACTTCTTTCTCGGTTGATATGAGGTATCCTTTTTTCATTTTTTCTCTCTTACTTGCCTCACCCCACCCCTTTCACCGGCCGTCCCCTTGGCTGTTTCTTGTTTTGCATTCTCTTTTCTTTCTTCTTCATGAATTCCTGGATCCCTTCTCTTCTCTGTTCTTTGTTTTTGGCTTTGTGCCAGTGAACACAACCTCTTCATACACCTTACAAAGTTCTGTTCGGAATTTGATGAATGAAAGGCATAGCAATTAGCATGCTGTGATGATGTTGTGATGTTCTCTTGTTACTCTTTATTTTTTTCACTTTTTGATATTTATCTTCTACTTCTGAACGCCCACTGTTTTGTAAATCTTGATTTTTACTACTACTACTACTAAACTTCGGATACACATTTTACAATGTTCTGTTTTTGTTACAGTTCCCCGCTTTCCTCCTATCGCCCGTCCGTCCCTGGCCCATCCCTATTTACACCCATCAATTCATGAACATTATTTTTATGGGTAGGTTTTGTCTGTGTGCTGTGTGTGCATGTGCTCATGTGTTGCTGATTTATATGTTTTCTCCAATCCATTATTCATTATTCATTCTTCTGTCCTACTGTTTTGTGTTGCTCTGTTAAGCGCAGTAGAAAATCTTTATGAGACTGTTCTCTTTTTCTAGTTTTCTTTCTTCATATCTAGTGGTTTTTTGTTCTTACCGTTTTTCTTTTCTTTTGTCCGCGGTTTGGCATTCGCTTTTAGAGCTGTGTTGTGTTGTTGCCCGGGTTGTCAAAAGGGAGGAATAAAAGACATACTATATAGCTGGTTTTGGTGGATGGCGTTTACCCGTTCTCCTTGTTTTTGGCTCGTTGGCCTAGACGTCTATGGGATGAAAATTATTTTCCCTTTTTCCCTTCTTCCCTTTCCTTTTCTCTTATAAACCACCCGTACATCCCTTATTTTCCGTATTGTTTGCTTCAATTTTCATATATGTCTTGTCTCCCCTCTCTTTGCAGGCCTTTCATTCCCTTTCTCTGCTTTTTTACTTCTTCTTGTCCTTGTTTTTAAACAGCTATACACATATATGCCTCAAAGGGACTTCATAAATTGCAAGATTGACAATAATGAATTTGACCATCCTCTTTCCACCCAGAATCAAGCATGCATTCTTCTCTGCGGCTAATAAGCACCTGACTAAGCATCCCAGGCGGCAGTAGGCGCGGGAAAATATTTATCCGAACCTGACAAACCCAAACGCTAACCTTATCCAGGCCTAGTGAATTTTACGGGGTCTCTGCCGTTCCCCCCAGCCTGGAGAAGAAATTCAATCCATCGTTCTTTCGTCTCTTTCCCGCCCGCAGTCTCCGCCCTTCCACCCACCCCCCCCCATCACGACTCATGATTCTCCTCTCCCCACTGTTTTAATTTTACTAATTATTACCCATTGACCAAAATATATTTCTTAATTGTGCCATTCTCTCTGCGCGCGCTTAAGCGCTTCTAGTCGCGTGGTTGAACCGAAGTCAACGCAGCTCCGCGGCAGCAACAGTAAAAAGAGCCTGAGCAACGGACCGAGACACCAACGACACCACCCCTCCGAATGGAGACTTGCTAGAGAGTTGGGTGGACAATAACTAGCGCAAGGCCCCACTGGAGGGGGCCTGGCGGTTCTAACTAAGCTCCGTTCTACGTAAATAGCTATTCCTTTCGCTTGCCTGTCGTTTCTCTCTTTTTTTTGGAGAGAGAAGTAAGGCGCAATGGCTACGACGATGGCTAGCTCTCCTAGCGCGACGGCGGCGATGGAGCGGAATATTGATGTCTATGCGACCCGGTTGGCAGATGTGAATATCGGTATGGGGCATTTCAACGATTTTTCTTGCTTCATCTTTGGTGTATACCGCGGTCCTACTTGCGGGCTCTTGTTCCGCATGTCTGTCTACTGGCATAGTGTTAAAACTTACGCCACATCGATTGCTAACTATTTTCTTCTTCTTTTCAGAAACTAAGACCAGAACCAATATCGCGATCGAGCTGCGCGACTCGCTGGAGCAGCTATGTTCCGGCCCCAGTTACCCCATTTTTCTTGCGAAGCTATGGCCGGTCTTCAAAAAGATCCTCAAGGGCGAACCGGTATTTGTTAGTTTGTCTTATGAACAGGTATGGGATACATTTATGTATATCTTCTGCGACTTTTTCCACTATCGTTGTTGGAGTGCTAAGGATTCAAATTCTTTTTGCTCGAGCGGTTTTAGAAACTGCGGAACTGTGTCCTTGAAATCCTCCATCGACTTCCTCTAGACCTCCCCGATGTCGAACCGTACGCTGGTGATATGGTCGATCTCCTACTAGAAGTTGTTCGAGTTGAGAATGAGGACAACGCTGTCCTCTGTATGAAGACAATCATGGATCTGGAACGACGGCAGGCCAAGGCAACACAGACGAGAGTCAAGCCATTCCTGGAACTTATACAGGAGATGTTTGAGACAATGGAACAGGTCGTTCGAGATACTTTCGATAGCCCTGCATCGGGAGGACAAGGCATGCCATCAACGCCGGGCGCAACATCACAGAATTTCCAGTCTCCACGGCCCAGCTCGCCCGCAACCTCCGTCTCTGATCTCGGTCCCGACCAGCAGTCGAATCAACAGCTTTTGAGAGGAATGCAGTCCTTTAAAGTCTTAGCGGAATGCCCGATCATCGTCGTCTCGATATTTCAAGCTCATCGGAGCGTCGTTTCTGCCAGCGTCAAAGTCTTCGTGCCCCTAATCAAGGGCATTCTACTTCTGCAGGCGAAGCCACAGGAGAAGGCACATGCAGAGGCCGCAGCTCAGGGTAAGATCTTCACTGGCGTGTGCAAAGAGATCAAGAATAGAGCGGCCTTTGGTGAATTTATCACCGCGCAAGTGAAGACGATGAGCTTTCTCGCCTACCTGCTCCGGATGTATGCGAACCAGCTGCAGGATTTTCTCCCATCTCTGCCGGGTGTCGTTGTGCGTCTTTTGCAGGATTGCCCGCGCGAGAAATCAAGTTCTAGAAAGGAGTTGCTTGTCGCCATACGTCATATTATCAACTTTAATTACCGCAAGATCTTCTTAGATAAGATTGACGAGCTCCTGGACGAGCGGACGTTGATTGGTGATGGGCTAACTGTCTATGAGGCGATGCGACCACTAGCATACAGCATGCTTGCTGATCTCATACATCATGTCCGCGAGTCACTTAATCGCGATCAGATTCGTCGGACCGTGGAAGTGTACACGAAGAATCTTCACGACGATTTCCCTGGCACTAGTTTCCAGACCATGAGTGCCAAATTGTTGTTGAATATGGCAGAGCGTATAGCGAAGCTTCAGGATAAGCAGGATGCGAGATACTTCTTGGTCATGATTCTTGACGCTATTGGGGATAAGTTCGCTGCCATGAATCACCAATTTGACAATGCTGTTAAGATATCACGGGCATTTAAGAATCAACCAGAAAACCAGAGGGAATCATACCTCGCGGAAATCGATAACCCACCGGATTGGGATGAAATCGATATCTTTTCCGCGGCTCCGATAAAGACCTCAAACCCGCGAGAGCGCAATGCCGATCCCGTTGCAGATAATAAGTTTCTCTTCAATAATCTTGTGAAGGGGCTGAAGAGCTTATTTTATACACTGAAAGCAACTAATCCGGACAATATCAACATCGATGAGACCATCGTTCCGCCCAATTGGCCCGAAGTTTCGTTTGGGTACAAAGCCGAGGAGGTCGCGGTGATCAAGAAGCTGTTCCATGAGGGGGCTAGGGTTTTCAAATATTACGGAATCGATCAGCCAGAACCTGAAGTGCAATACTCTTCACCGCTGGAATTCCTTGCTAGTCAGTATATGCAGCAGATGGGTAAAGAGGAGAAAGAGCTTCTGGAGACCTTCGGCACGATTTTCCATTGCATCGACACAGCTACGTTCCATGAGGTTTTTGAGACTGAGATTCCATATCTTCATGAGCTTATGTTTGAACATTCTTCGCTATTGCATTTGCCCCAATTCTTCCTCGCAAGTGAAGCTACGTCTCCGGCCTTCGCTGGGATGGTGCTGCAATACCTCATGGATCGAATTCATGAGGTGGGGACCTCAGATGTATCCAAATCGAGAATCCTGTTGAGGATGTTCAAGCTATCGTTCATGGCTGTCACGCTTTTTTCAGCACAGAACGAGCAGGTCTTGCATCCCCACCTCACTAAAATCGTTACCAAGTGTATAGAGCTCTCCGTTACAGCTGAGGAGCCGATGAATTATTTCCTCCTCCTCCGCTCGCTGTTCCGAAGTATTGGTGGAGGCAGATTCGAACTCCTATACAAGGAAATCTTACCGCTCCTGGAGATGCTTCTCGAGACCTTCAATAACCTCCTCCTAAGCGCTCGGAAACCCCAAGAACGCGATCTTTACGTTGAACTCACATTAACAGTCCCTGCCCGTCTCAGCCATCTACTCCCCCATCTCAGTCATCTCATGCGCCCCATTGTCGTTGCACTTCGGGCTGGCTCCGAACTCGTTGGCCAAGGTCTCCGCACACTCGAGCTTTGTGTTGATAACTTGACCGCAGCCTATCTAGACCCAATAATGGCGCCGATCGTAGACGAACTCATGACTGCCCTTTGGGACCATCTTCGTCCAAACCCTTACAGCCATTTCCATGCTCATACCACCATGCGAATCTTGGGTAAACTAGGTGGTCGTAATCGGAAATTCCTCAACCATCCACCAGAATTGTCCTTTCAGCCGTTTGCCGATGATATTCCCAGCATTGATGTTAAACTTATTGGTGGTGCAAGCAAGGAACGTGCATTTCCCCTGGATATTGGGATTGATTTGGCACTGGGGAAGTTGCTTGAAGTACCTAGGACACCGGCAGCGAAAGCTACTGATGCACATTACAAACAGCAAGCGTACCATATGCTGAGTTCTCAGCTGAAGCTTTATATTGGCCTTGAACACCCGCCTGAGGAATTGGCTACGCTGGTGCGATTGCAAGCGAACGACTTGGCTGAAGGAAGACTAGTCGGGCCGGATATTCTGGAAAAGTCTGAACGGAGTGGCTCGATTCCGAAGAAGACGGCCCAGGAGGAGACAATGAGGAAGTTACTGAAAGCCTGCATTATCGCGACAACTATCCCGGACCTGAAACAGAGTGCAACTGCATTCGTCACGGACGTGTGCCGGCACTTTACTATCGTTGAAGTTGGTCGATCACTCGCACAAGCGAGACACGCCAGGAGACCTTTCAATGTTAACTCAGGAGAAGGTCCTATGTACCTAGACACCCGAGTGCTTGCGGATGCCCTCGTGGAATGTTTTTCGTCTGATCATCGTAATGTTCGCGACGCGGCGAAGAGCGCCATGCTTACTATGCGTGATACAGCCGCTGTTATCTTCGGTTCTCCGGACAAAATTGCCAAACTCTCCTTCTTCTCGCACCTTGCGCGAGTATTTTGCCACAACTGCCATGAGGAAGAGTGGTTTACGAAAGCCGGTGGAAGTCTTGGGATCCAAGTCTTTGTCACGGAGCTTGACCTCGGCACGCCATGGTTGGTTGATCGGCAGGCGGAGTTCGTCAGGGCCCTCATGTATGTCATCAAGGATACGCCGACGGATTTGCCTGCTAGCACTAGAGTACAAGCGCGGGATACGCTAGATAAAATTCTCCGCAGATGTCAAACTGGCGTGTCCAAGGAGGATTTGAAGAATGAGAAGAGCAGGCTGACCAGTCTCTGTGGGTTTTTCAGTTACGAGCTCTCGCACATGAGTAAACATGTCCGCGAGACTTCTCAGCAGGCGTTTGAGACTATTGCGCAAGCTGTTGGTGCTGAGAAGCATGAGCTCCTCGCTCCTGTCAAGGATAGGCTTCTACAGCCGATCTTTAATAAACCGCTGCGTGCTTTGCCGTTTCCTACAGAGATTGGATTTATCGATGCCATCACCTTTTGCCTCGGTCTTCATCATGGAATCGTGACGTTCAACGATCAGTTAAATAGACTGCTGATGGAATCATTGGCATTGGTTGACGTCGACGACGAGTCTCTTGCGCCGAAGCCAAATGAATTCAAGACCGCAGAGCAAATTGTGAACCTCCGAGTCTCCTGCCTCCGCTTGTTATCTATGGCAATGAGCTTCCCGGATTTCGCGAGCGGCCCGCAGAATACAGGGCGTGCACGTGTCATCGCCGTCTTCTTCAAATCGCTCTATTCTCGCTCGCCGGAAATTATC